CCCCAAAACCCCAAAACCCCAAAACCCCAAAACCCCAAAACCCCAAAACCCCATGCTAAAACTATTTATTGAGCGGAATAATAAATCTGAAAGTATAGTTAGGAAATAGTAATTATTAATAACTTGAGAGATGAAAACAGGATTAACTTTAAATCTTTTAAGCATAACCCTGGTTATGCTGCTTGTAGCAAAATACCAATCATGGTAAGGAATAATCTGATGAAGCATGGTTGACCTTTGTTGTGAAGAGGCTTGGATGGTCACCAACTTCATCAAATCTTGGCTTTTTAGGCTTTTGTAGAAGTTGTAGAGATAAGCTCATATTTTCATATAGATTGATAGGTCATGCATCGTTTGAACCAAACTTAGTGAAAGAAGAGGAAAACATACCGGAAGTATCTGATGAACCTTCTGTTGAATGTGTTGAATGTTTTGATGACCTTAAGCCCAGTGAAAGCTCTCCTAGCTCTGACGACCATCTCAACGAGAGGCCTGTCATCGGCATTTTCACTCAGCCTTACAACGACACTCACGACTACATCATGGCATCCTATGTGAAGTTTGTACAATTAGCAGGAGCAAGAGCAGTCCCAATCGAGTGGAGAGACTCCGATGAGAACATCACTGAGCTTGTCAGCAAACTTAATGGTGTGCTTTACCCAGGAGGGTCCACCTCTGTAAGGAACAAAGATGGATCTCTTAGTGATCATTCGAAAAAAGTAGAACTTGTGACAAACTTAGTAAAAGAGTATAATGAAGAAGGAATTCACTACCCAATCTTGGCTATTTGCATGGGATTCCAACAGATCACACAGAGTGAAGCCCCCTACAAAGACACCCTGACCCTTCGTGAGTTCGACTCCGCTAACAATGCCAACAATGTGTCACTCACTGAAGACGTCTCTGAATCCAAGTTGTTTGAAGAAATGCCAGACCATTTGGTCGAAGCATTAGAAGAAGAGAACATTACTTACAATCACCACTATGACGGAGTTGTCCCAGATATTTTCGAGAAATATTCTAACCTCAGGGAGGAATACCACATGCTTGGAGTGTCTTACGACGAGAAAGACCAAGAATATGTAGCCGTTATCGAAGCTAAAAACTTCCCAATTTACGGTTTCCAGTTCCATCCAGAGAAGAACATCTACACATGGAGGACGGACATGGAGATCCCTCACTCAAGAGTCGCCATCGAGTTCAGTCAGTTCCTGTCCAACTTCTTTATCGATGAAGCCCGTAAGAATTTCAACAGATTCGACTCCCACGAAGAAGCTTTCGAAAGCAGGATAGAGCATATCCCAATTGACTTTCCCAAGGACGGAGGCCAGGACATCTATGTTTTTGAAATATAACCCTGTGTCATCCTTTCTCTATAAATAATCTCTTATTCGGGAAGAAGAAATTTCAATCATAAATATAATAACCGGGGTTTTGGGGTTTTGGGGTTTTGGGGTTTTGGGGTTTTGGGG